TTTTCTTTTTTTTTTTTCAGTAACAGACAAAATGCCTTTTAAACCAGTAGAACATCCCAAGTGTCCCAAATGCGGCAAATCCGTATACGCCGCGGAAGAACGTGTTGCTGGAGGACTCAAATGGCACAAGATGTGCTTCAAGTGTGGTAAGCGCTCGTTTGAAATATTAAATATTATCCCAGAAACATGCTTCGTGTTTTTATCCATCTTACAATTCAATAGTCCAATCAAACTTCGATAAACGATGCTATTTCAAACATTCTCAAACTATACTTTTATTAGATTTCGATCGAACATTTTTTTAAATTAAATTATTGAAATACAATTATTCGAAATATCTTTCATTTCCAAAAAAAAAAAAAACGCAAATATTTTTGTCTCGAAAAGAATGATCAAAAGAAGGCAATTGTCGAAAGATTATCGAGCTCGTACGTAAAATTTTCCTATTCGAAAATTAACGATCGATGCTTAAATATGATTTGAACGATACGACAATCTTAATTGATTCACAAGATTTGTCAGAGATTACGGGATCTCGGCATCCCCCATTGCGCAAAAAACACCATCAGCCGTTTTTAAATTTAGCCATCCCTATAAATAAGTTTTATGCCAGTCCCGGATGGTTTGTCTTGGCCTTAATTAGTTTTGTATGCTAGCCAGAAATCAAATAGAACCACCCAACGTTAAGTCGAGGGTGCAACGACCCGCGCGAACTCGCCGGCAAAAATCCGTACTTCGTGATCCTACTTGAAATAGGAACTCCATTGAATATTCATCCGCGGTTTTGAGCGGAAATATGCTGCATCGAAAATTAACGCGGATGTTATATCTTATTCACGAATATTCCTCGAATTATTTTTTTTTTTTTTTGGTTCTCTCTTTTAAAAAAAGTGCAATAAGATAATTTCAATGGATTCATGTTGTACGATTTTGTGTCATCGCATGTCGTTCACAAGATTGTAATAATTAATCCTTAGAGAGCTTGGAAAGTTCTTGATCATTAAAGTATTATTATTAAAATTAAAATTTTATCTTATCTTACCAAATTGTGAAAGACGATGAATCTTGATTTCGAGCGATATATTTTTGAATGTTTAATTAATCATATATCGAAATGATCGATCAAAAAATAACTCCTTCGATTTTGTGGACAGAGAATAATAATTCGACGTATATTGGAGGAATTCTTTTTTTTTTTTTTTTATTCAAGTTAATTTAAAATAAATTAAGAAAGAAAGGATCGAACGAGTATTTTTCTATTTTAAACGACGTATTACAAATTGTGAACACGTGTTTGTGCGAATTTCATAAGATTTTGATAAATTTAACTCTCAACTAGAATTAGTTATGTAATATGTAAAGTGCAGCCGGCCGAGAAAGTAGGTGAAGCATTCTCTCCTCGTATAATTGTATTAATTCATTTACCAGCCTCCACCTGTCAAGTTCTAATCTAATAAGGAATATTACCGCTGACAGAAATGTAAACCAGACTTAAGGAAACATTCGTTCTTAGATTGGAAAATTGATTTTCCTCTCTTCCCGAATCTCGAACAATTTTTACACCCGAAATTAATTTACCCGCACATTTCTCTCAAGTCCACCCCGTTTGACCTCATCGTGTCGTGTCGTTTTCTCCCCCCCCTGTTAACAAATTTCACAATTTAAAAAAAAAAACACACACACACGAAAGTGAATAATCATTCCATCAATGCTTCCATGTCGAAGAAATTTTCTTTTTCTTTTTTTTTTTTTTTTCTTTTATTAAAATTTCCACCGATCTCACGTAATGATAAACCCGAGAGTAGTAATACAAGATTGAACGGAATCATCAGTTTTTACCGGATTTATTCGTCCCACGACGAATCCGCTAGGAAAGAAGGGAAAAGCCTAGCGGAAGGATGGCGGAATAGGCGGAATAGCCAAACTATTCCTGTGTGTTCCAGGTCTGTGCGGCAAATTACTCGACTCGACAAACTGCACCGAGCACGAGGGTGAGCTTTTTTGCAAAGTGTGCCACGGACGCAAGTTCGGTCCTAAGGGATACGGCTTCGGTGGAGGCGCTGGTTGCCTGTCCATGGATCAGGGCGAACATTTGAAGAGTAGCGAGTGAGTGCACCTGCCCGTCGTCTCCCTCCCCCTCCCCTTCTACCCCACCTCCACCCCTCCTCCTCCTTTCCCAAACCTACCTAAAAAAAAAAAAAAAAAAAAACAAAACAATGTCTCTCCCCTCAGTC